CTTGCCAACTATAAATAATTTCCAACTTATTTACTAACTTAGCTCCACGTTCCATACCCCCCCCCCCCCCCCCCTAAAAAAAAGCACATCCATATTCATGTTTTTTGCATGCCACCTTCATTACAACAACGACAACAACGACCCAGTAAAATCCCACTAGTGGGGTCTGGGGAGAATAGTGTGTACGCAGACCTTATCCCTACCCGATGGAGTAAAGAGGCTATTTCCGAAAACCCTCTGCTCGAGAAGACAAAAAGACAAAAACAGTATCACCCTAGAAATCGTAGAAAAAGTAACAACATGGAAACTAGAAGATAGAGAAGGTAGATGCAAAGCAAAAGCAAGAGACAGTAAATAGACCCGGCACCTAAAAGTTCAGAAAATTCAGGGCTTTACCAAATGTTTTTTTCTATACAAAACACACAGCAACAAAAAGGTGGAACCCTGACAATATTTTCTTGCTCTTTACATCTTTTCTTTTGCTTATATATGGAAGCTTTTTTTTCAATCTAAGCTTCCAGAGTAGTACAATAAACATCTCTACTTCTCAGTGCAGAATAAGTAATTTCAAAATATACACAACAAGCCATTTCCTACAACAACTTTGAATTTAAATGCCTTTCAAACTGCTGTTATAACATAATTGACTATCTAGCTCCCACTAAATGTTGCCGGATTTTCTATATCCGGTTGATGATCTATGTGGGACGACATTGCTGTTTGATTCAGCTGAGAATTTTGCAGCATATCTAACAAGAGCTGTCGCCGCCTTTTCCATCTAAGGAACTCGACAAGTATGGAACATCCACCCATTGCAACTCCCAAACCAGCAAATGTTGAGAGAAGAATTGAAAGAACTGCTTGTACATGAACCTGAAAACATATACTAGTAACATTTTACAGGTCCAGATAGGTGGATGCGGTCTTGATCATATTCCAATATTTTTTACACGTAACATAAATATATGTACGTTAAAAATTACCTAACATTTAAATAAGTATCAACTTTTGAATCCGAAATTTCAAAAGAATATAATTCAATAGTAAGAACTTGAGTTTGATCTATCAAATTATCGGCCTTTGGTCCAACATAATTCATTCAGATCCTCACATTTAGGAATGATATGTTTAGGAATATCTTACCAAGGAGTAGAACATATGAGCAAAGAATACCACGAGGACGAACTGAACTGATGCATAAACCCAGACAAACCTTCTCTTCACTGCCAAAAAAAAACCAAGATTTTGTCAGTATACATAAAAGAAAGACACGAGCATAAGATTTTTTACCAGCATTTGTCATGAAATTGCCAAGTGAAAATTGTATTTTGCTGCTTTTAAAGGTGTCGCCAAGTCTCAGATACATTTTCAACTATATCTAAGTTTTAGAAACACAAACTAATAGATTTTCAAATTACCATTTGCTTTTTTGTATTAAAGAGACTATATCAAGCAATAATCAGTTGATCCTCCCCACACCAATCGAAATTATACTCCTTCGGATCCTCCTTATCAGTTGTTTAAAGTTTGGGCACACCCTTTAAGAAAATCATTTTAAAACGTTAATCATATGGGTATTTGACTAAATTACCCGTGTCTCTTCCTTAAATTAGTAATTAATGACTATATGCCTTCGTAGAGTAGTAAAGGTGGAATTGAAAAAAAAGGAAGTCAATGTCTTCTTGGTTTTCGAAAGCGACAAACATTTTGGAACAATCTATTTTTGGCTGAAGTGATAGATAAAAAGTCCGGAGGGAGTACTGATTAGTACCTATACATCCTTTGAAGCTATATATCTACAATATTTGATTGATCAAAGTTATTAAAATGATCCACCTAAGCAGAAGACGACATACCCATGGTTGAAGATGCCAAAGACGAAAGCAGACCTAGTACACAAGAAAAGGGAACTGATATAGCAATTGCACCGGTACCCATTGTTCCAACCTGCAGATGGAACAATAGTAAATCAATACGAGATCGATGACGGGCTGTTTCTTTTATGAAGACCTTATAAAATTACCAGAAGCTGCTCAAGAAAGCAAAAGTAGGCAAGCATGCTGACAATGACAAGAATGGGTAGTTCCTGTGAAACCCTGTATAATGCAGCAAAATTTCAGAAGCTGAATCAGTTGACTAATTTGTTAACAAGAATATTAATTTTAGCTCTCAAAAATATTACACACACTCTTATAGTTTCAGATTTAACTAGTTCTTGTCCAAAGAGAAAAATGGGATAAGTAGAGAGGAACCAGAAAATGCAACAAAAGTAGTCTGCTTTGTCCATTTAAAAAAAAAAGTCATCTTTGTCGGCGCTGAACAACAAAAGTACTAATAAGACACGATTCTTTAGTTCAAAATTAAACACGCTGAGTCATAGGTAAATATAGCTTATAGTAAATCATCTTCAAAGTAAATTGAAAACTGAAGCTGGATTAATCTTTCAGCCCCTTGTATAAGTAGCTAGTGTCAACAAGAAACTAGAAGAGATATCTTGGTTCCCTTAGCCCATAAAGACGAGAACAAATAACACTCACCTGTATCCATTTATTTCCAAGTGCTGGAACCTATTAGATCCCACATTTGCACTTTGGATGCGACGTAGTGTGACAGGTAGGTTTAGAACTTCTTGCTTGCAGACGTCACACGTTCTGTTACCTTTTATGCTGAACCATTTAAAAGCACATTCTTGGTGAGCCAAAGCAAGTTCACCTTTGCAGCTGCATTCCATCTTGAGTGTCTCTCCACCCTCACACAATTCAACCAGGCATATTCGACAAACAGCTTCCTCTTCAGGTATATCTTCACCATTTGATTCATTATCGTCTGAGAAACACCACACATATTAGATATTGGTGGCGGCACGTGTAGTGCTCATATATGCAGAAGATGGTAATCAATGAGAACAGAGGAAGCCTTATCACAACTTCCAGAGCTCGTGATTGCTTTTAAACCAAATAATAAAGGGATTTTTTCATTTATGACCTGTCGGCCGAAATTAATTCCAGACGCTAGCCAACATATACAAAACGTATTATGTATATTATATATAATATACAAAATATATACATTTACCGGCTATTGTTTTGGAGGACAGCCCAATTAAGGTAATTATCCCAATAATAAACTAGATGATATAAGCAGTTGTTTACCAGATACTTTGGTTGGAGTTGCAGCTGGAACAGTGGAATTTCCATCCTTCACTTGAGGGGTTGAAGGAACAACTCGAAAGAAAGATTCTACTCTCCTAGTCCTTCGTTCTTTGTTAACGACCGGGAGAGAAAGTGATCTAGAAATGCGCAGATGTGCATCTTTTGTCTACAATAACAACAAACCATACTTCAAATGATCGCGCAAAATCGTTGAGAGCACACAACAGTAACTTCAGGCCTTAAACATGTAAGAACTCTTTCCTAGTCACCGCATTCAGCTTTAGATTTAAAATAGTATCTAGACGGATGCCCTGATTCTTGTAATAAATTAAAGAAAGAGCAGCAGCATCTCCTGGAATATCAGCTCATATGCAAGTACTACATGAAATATTCTGTGGAAAACCTCAGTTTACATCCAAGATAAAGGTTTTATTATTCCTCCTTATTTTGCTTTTCGATGGTTGGGGCCTTTCGATACTCTCACCATTCATTATATGTTACTAGTGCAACGGTTATCATGAATGTTGATAAGTCTGAGAACCTTGCTAAGGTTCCGTTAACTGAACAGTGTCCAGTTTTGGGAGATTTTCTACATGAAACTCCATAAGTAATATTCTTTCGACAGAGGTCATGAAATTAAACTAGTTACGTGGTTTTAAGTTTTGTGCTTTTGCGCCAGTCTCTGGTCGGGGTCGTTCTATGGTCAACTACCAATATTAGAACCAGAAATTACCAATAACACAACATATAAGAAGTCAATCAACTTTTTACAGAGAACTTACACCAAATGTCAAGGTTCTGCTGTTACTTCCACTAGAAGACTCTGGATTTGGATGTTCAATTGGTGTAACGGGTAAAGATGAAGTCCTCTTCACTCGTGGTGTAAATAATTTAGAGAATGACCAAGACCTTGATATGGACACCTTCTCATCTGATAAGGCTGCCTTTTCTGTATCTGAATTCGTATTGCGCGATTTGAAGCTTAGTTTCGGCAAAAGATTCCTAATGGATGATTTGCTTCTGCATGAGGAGGGACTAGGAAACGCGTTTGCTCTTGAATTAGAAGAACTAGGCGTCAAAAGGAAATTCACCCTTTTTGGTGTAGGTGTCGGTGTTGGAAGCATTTTAACCTGCACGAACTCTTGATTGGAGGCATCCGATGATTTAGAAGGTATCTCCACAAATAGATTTGGTCTCCTCCATTGTTTACCATGTGTTTCTTCTTCAGTAATCCCCGAGGAACTTTCGCCCTGAAAAAGGAAGAAGCACATATTATTGTCAGTGAACTGGTGCATAAGCTAACAAGTAGTCCTATCAATCTACGAAACCTGAATCAATGCTCTTAAAGAGCATGGTCAACATCTCCAATGACAATTAAAATCATAACGCTCCAAACTACATTAGCGAATATGTGCAACTTTGAAGAAATCATAACAGAAAGAAGTCTTCCAATACAGAGACAATCTACTAGTTTAGAAGATTTAGACTGATCCAAGAATCTATATTCTTAAGAGGCTCAATTTCTGCAGATGAACGAGCCTCGCTTGACCAATTTTTAAAGAAACATCTAGTTGGCGTTATGTGATAGTTGCTATCTCCTTTCAGCATTGAATGGTTTGGAAGTGGTATGTCCATCACTCAGATGATTTCTTTTTCAATGCACGCCAAAACACCCTTATATAAGTTGTCTTACAAGAAAAAGAGGCAGCTGCAAAATTTAATGAAAGTGGATGCACCATTTATTATCTATACGTATCTTTAAAAATTTCCTCAAATTATCTGTATAAATCCATAGACCGATGCTGAGACAGCAGGAGTATGTTACACTACTACTTCTATGCAGGATCTGCCTCAGGAAACAAGCACATTTAAAGCGAACAAAAACATAGACTAACGAAAGCTGGTACGATTTACAGACTACCAGAGATCAAATCTCCGTAGCATTATGTTATTAGGAAACAGAAAGAAAAATTCCAGAACTCGATGACACAAAATGTTTTCCTATGGATATGTGGGAGTTGTAGCTCTAATCTCTATCAAGCCCAGGGGCGGAGCTACAAATTATAATTTAGAACCCAGTAACTTAAAAGAATTGGAATTTTGAACCCATAAATTTCAAATCCTGGCTCCGCCTCTGATCAAGGCCTTAAGATCTTGATTCAGAAAAGTTGTTTCCACGTTTTGCTCCACCTTATAGAAACTTTTTGACATCACTTCAGGAGAACCAAGAGCGATATGTTCTTTGTATCGGTTGGTCTTTGTATTAGAAACAAGAGCAGATTATATGTACAAACATGTGCAGAAACAGAACCACAATCCATCATTGTAGCTCTGTAGTATCGCACCTATTTGAATAAGGATATGTTGTCAATATAAAATTGGGATGCTTCAATGCCGTTAAATTGAATTTAAACAAAGGAAGAGATTTGTTTCTTCGTGATTTCCCGCTCCTAGGCAAAGGGTTGATGAAATTCACCCTCTCCTGTAATGTTTCACATTTAAGAACTTTAGAAAGATACAATACTCAATTTTCAAAAGACAATATACAAAAAATCATTTATCTGAAAAGAAAAATGATATACTATTACACATTCTGTTCCCAGAGCATCACAAAATCCTGCCCTTATAAACATGTCTTCTTTGGATAAAAAGAGTAATCAACCCAAAGGCTCCTGATTCTCCAACTAAGAATAACGACATTTTTCCGACTTCTTCACAAGAATAGAAAGTTGTCGATCAATCTTAACTTTTTAAGCAGATATCTTGTGCCTAGTTGCTATATTGGAGTTCTATGGCCAACTTGTAGAATTGACAGGTGATGCTGAGTTAAACAACATAACGCCCAAAGCCAGATATGTAAATTAAACACGTCGCTCTTGAGCACATTATGAATCACTTTTTAAATCCAATAATTCTTTTGTTATCCTATACTGAACAAATTAAATCTATTAGATCCTTTGCCAAAATCTATTAGAATATGCTAGGGACTCCCGCAGGAGCTATTATCGTTGTACAGAAGATAATCTCATATGGTTGTTAGAATGCCTGTCTTATATATACTTCTACTAATGATGAGTTTAACCAATGAAGGCATACCTCTGTTCGGAAATTACATTGTGTATACAAGATCAAATTTTGTATGTATATATATTAGATGTTGAATCTCGTTAAATTCTTAGCGTGTTTCCTCCCTAACTGCCTCTCTTATTGCCTCAAACTTTTTCTAGGGACAAAAATTGAGCTGAGAAAGTTTCTTGATGGAGTTAGAGAAAGAAACCGATTGAAAAATTAATGAAAGGAGAATAAAAGATTCAGAAGTTAAACAACAAAACTTCTAGTTTCCAGTAAAATGCTACTCACAAACAGAAAAACTCCACTAACTATAGCATCAAATTTGGAAAATACATATCAAGATGACCAGAAAACATTTTGCAGCTCTAGCACTACTATCTCAGGAAAACACAAGCCTGCCCGATGCACTAAGCTCCCGCTATGCGCGGGGACCGGGGAAGGACCAGACCACACTATTATAGGCAGCCTCACCCTGCATCTTGTGCAAGCATCTATGCCAGAGGCTGTTTCCACGACTCGAACTAGTGACTCCTGGTCAGATAGATGGAGGCAACTTTACCAGCAAGGCTGCCTTCAATCTCAGCAAAACACAATAATGACAAAATGCATAAAGAAACAAGAACCACATAAGATTCCTTTTAATTTTCCCTTCCTCTTGGCTCTTCTATCCCTTTCCAAACCAAAAAGAAGAGAAAAACATAGGAGAAAACAATAAGCCAAGTAATTGAAAAAAAAAAAAAAAAGAAGATGAAGACAAGCAGAAATTACTTTGCTTTTCACCTTAGGGATTGGTTTGACAACTCTTTCACAAGCCTTACTTCTCACATATTCATCATACACCTCAGCCATGGACTTTTCCTTCCCCTCACAGCTCATGATCTAAAAAGAAACAGAACCCAATTCAGAGAAATGAAAAAACAAGATGGTATTTGTGATATTTCCAAGTCTAGTAGTAGTAATTAGCAAGTTTGAGGGAAGAGGATGAAAGCAAAAAAAAAGTAATGGAGGTTTTATAATAATAGTAGAATGTTAGTTAGTCGCTAATAAATATGGCCGAGTCCTTTCACATCAATGAGAAAGGCAAGAGTAAAGAGCCTTACACGACTGGCCTACTACTACATATTTATGCCCTGCAGCCTCTAAGTGCACTCTTACTTCACTCATCACTATCACTTGATGCTCACTCAATGGGGCTAGTCATGCGACTTATAAATAATGTCAGCATTGATTAGTGGCAAAGTCAGAAATTTTATTTAGGATGTTTAAACTTAAAATAAATAAAAAAAGATTCCTCGATATATGTTTTATACCATTAAAATATAATATTTTACCTATACATACAATGTGATTTTCTTACGAAGGGTGATCAGTTGACCTTCTAAATAATGTTTGGTTGATTGAATTAAAAAGAATAAATCTAACATAAACTTTTGTATAAAATAATACATGTGTTTGATTAGGAGGATTAGAAATTTATTTCTATGTATATTTCTCCCATATCACAAAGAATGAACCTATTACTACCTCCGTTTCAAAAAGATTATCATAATTTGACTTGACACAAATTTTAATAAAAAGGGAAAACTTTTGAGATACGCGGTGTCAAAAATAAGCTATAGCATTTATGTGGGTATAAAACTTATGAAATTTGTGGTGTAAAACCTACCATAACATTTGTGTGACTATAAATGTTTCATATTAAGAAAATATTGAAAGATTGTCAATCTTTTCGAAACAGATTAATAAGAAAATAGCTCGTCTTTTTTAAATGGAGGAAATACTATTTAGGGGGGGTCATCGACCATATATTTTGCAAATAGTTTTTGAATATTTTAAATTGTTAACTATTGTGACTTAAAGTATTTTCTATATAATTTCTAAATATATAAATTTAATTTTAAAATACTTTAAGAATTCGCGTCTGAATTCATACCGAAAATTAGTCAATTTAACTCTCGCATTGCGAAAAGGTTCAAACAAATTAAAACAAATGGAGTATTTAATAGCTTATTTTTTTGGCACGAAAAGAATTGCATCTTATAGTATTTATTGTTTAATTTTTAATATTTAAATTTAGCTTTTAAAATTTTCAAATTAATTTAATCTAATTTAACGTAAAAGATTACTAAAAAAATTCTAGAAAAATGAAAAGTAATGTACTTATTTGTGGACCGAGGGAGTATCATATATCTATCCATTAATAAAGGAAAAAGAACATTATGGACAAGAAAAGTCTATTTCCAAAGAAAGGGATATGCAATGATCTGTTATCCTCTCTGTCAAAACACTCTTTTTGTGTTTGGGATTAGTCAACAGATTGATTAACTATACACGTGTAACGCATTATACTCGATTTGTTAGCACAAACACTATTTTCTTTTCTTGTTTTTTTTTTTTCTTTTTCTTTTGTGTCGTCATTGATTTTGTTTACCATCTTTTTATCAAATAAAATAATATGTGTAGGTAGGATAATTTATTTTAGGGTATCAATGGATTAAAAATTGATTAAACTAATTGAATCTAAACGAGTTGTACTGCTTGTTAGGTTATGGAAATAAGTTTTAAAAATATTGAATTGCATCGGATAAATTATATATGAAAAATATATTTTTGTATTTTATGTGAGGGGGGAGGGAGGGCTATATTTTGGTCGTTCCCATTTAATTTGTACTTACTTTTTTAAAAACAATTTTATTAGTACCCAAAGTACACACAACTTGAGGCCCTTACTCCTCCTCCTTTTGCCTCTTCATCTTCTTCTTCTTCTGTGAAAATAAAGGTGACGGTGATTTATATGGTGTTTGTGAGTAGTTTTAAGATGGTTTATGGTGTTTTATAGCGGTGAGTTGCTATGGTGCTTTTTTTAACTACTGCTTAGGGTTTCTTCCAATTCTTCTTAATTGCAAATGGTTTGTTACATTGTTTACCTCAAAAATACGAGTAACAATTAAGCTTGTTTATGATTTTAAAGATACGTGATTTAGTTCAATACTAATTAATAACCAAGAAATCTGAAGTATAAATGAAAGAAGTAAGTTGAATCAAACCCGTGTTTAAGCAAGTTTTGACCTCGAGCTGTGATGGCTTCGAGGTTGGTCAACAAGAACAGTAAAATGAAGACAATGAAGCTAAGAGACAATTCTGATGAAATATGAGCAATAAAGTAAGAGAGTATATTCTTTGCTAATGATTGATGATGGTTACAAATGATCGGGGTTCCCCTTTACATAATAGGGGAATCCTAAATATGGTACATTTCTATTTACAACAAGGAATCTTATTGGGACAGCTATCTAACCGCCTAGTACGAATTTGTATTAACTGGTACAAATCTATTCCGAAATTTACGCCATGATCTTGGGGACGTGGCGGGAATCTTGCTCTTTCTGTTACAAATCCATAACGGCATCATCTCGGGGTTGGTCATACTTGGCTCTGATGTTCCTCGAGCACTTAGATCTTCAAACCTCATATTCTGCCTTCGAGCTCGAACTCGGTCTGTATTGAACCTGTTCTCGATGCGACCTCTCGAGCCTACAAAATTGGGGGCATATGATTTTGACCGTATACAAATAGTCCTCGCGTTTCTTAGAATAAAATGATAAGAAACGACTTGAGCCTCGATTTCTCTGGAGTCCTTGACAATGACGTCATTCCCGTGATGTAGGCGCTCGAAGTGACCGAAATTTCCCGTCTGTTCGCTTCCCAAAAACATTAAATGCTTGGCCAATGGTGGTCGGCCATTAGCGTCGTCGAATCGTCATCGCTTGCCTATAAATACAAATTTCAAATTTGGAAAAATTTTTACTTCTATCTTCATTCCATCTCTAAACCCCTTTTATATGTCCCTCTCTTCTTCTCTTCTCTCTCGTTACTCGTAACTCTCGTTCTTTCAGTGCCAGAAAACATAAAACTCCGCTTATTTTCACATCTTTGGATCAATGGCAAAAATTTCTAAAATCATTCCTCAAAAAGAGAAAGCTTCCTCCTCTTTTTTCTAGCCGGCCGGTGATAAAGCGTCGGTCCTTCACGAGATCATTCCCGGCCCTTGCGTTATAAAGAAAGACTTCAGAGTCGAAAATCCCCCTGCTATTCCTGGTCGATGCGAGCATGTATCAGGATATGTTTTCTTGATAATGGAGAAGCACATGAAAGCCATGAAAAAAGAGTGTGGTTGGAGGGATGAGGTCGTGGTATAGATCCCCGACCCTGAGGAGAGAATTACCACTCATGTTGAAGGGTTTCTAAGTGTTTACACTTACCACTTCACACCGGGTCCCCTCGATCCGGTTGTGATTGAGTTCTGCAAAAGATACCAAGTCACCCTTGGCCAGATTCACCCCTCTTTCTGGAGTATAGTGAAGATGCTTCGTTTCTTCTCCAGCAAGGCCAAGGGGCTAGAGTTCACCCTCAATCACCTCATCAGATTGTACCGGCCTCAGATTTTTCGAGGGTGATCAAGCTTCAACGTTGATCGAGCAAGGCCTTCTTCGCTAGTAATGATGATGATAAGGACCGGGGATGGATGAACAGGTTCATGCGAGTGAGGACCTCGGACATCATCCCTGAGAGTAGAATGCCGTTCCTGGAAAAATAGAACCCCGATGGTAAGTGAAGTCCTCTCCTCAGTGTCTTCTTATATTCTATTTTTGCATTGTGTGACACCTTTACCTTTTTTGCAGCGGTTGCTTGGATGCCCCATGCGATCCACGACCTTGAAGATTTGGTTCGTAAATTAGCCTCCACCTTCCTCGTATGATAAGCGCAAATGGCGTAACTTGTCGAAAGGTAAATGGGAAGCCAAACACCACGGTAAGTCCTTCTCCCAAATTTTCGGTGCTTTCCCCTTTGCTGTATATGTCGCCTTACTCATGCTTGTTCTTCATTCATGTAGGTATTGGAGATGCCTCCAAAATGAGGCCATCCCTGCTCGGGGAAAAGACCGAATCCTCAGTTCCAAAATCGGGGAAAGATAACAAGAGGAAAAGGGCTTCGGAACCCGAAGACCCCCACAATAAGAGAGCCCCAGCTCGAAGGCAGAGGAGGAAACTCATTCAAGTGGACATAGACTCAATCCACCAATTGAATGACGAAGAAGAGGACGAGGGCGACGAGTCGACGTTGGTGACCCAAACAAAAAAACCAATTGAGGCCGTCAAGTCCTCCGAACCGGAAACCCTGCCTCGTGAAGAAGAGGCTCCGAAGAAAAATGCGGGCAAAGCCCCCGAGTCTCTTGAGATCGATATTATTCCCCCTCCTTCAATAAGTACACCAACGGGGGGCAAGTACCGAGACACGCGAGGCTGAACAGAGCGCCCCGAGCGATTTACTCGGGGCCATGACAATAGGTCACTCCCCTCCTCTACCATCTTATTCCGAGGAGGCAATAAAGGAAGCCCAAGCTCTGCAAACGTCTGATCCGAGTAGAGTCCCCGGTGAAGAAGATCCATTCCGGGATTGCTTTACTGGGGTCGATGATGCCGCCGACCTCAATGATGCATCTACCCTCTTTGAAGAGGCTCATCGTCTCTTCTCTCGGGTAAGCATTATCTCTTGTTGTTGCAAGTTTTTTCTTCTCCTTTTACACTAAATGACATCTCTTTTTTCTGTGTTGGCCATTACCAAATTTAGGGCCGAGCTGAGCCAGTGTGAGGCCGAGCTCAAGAAATCCTCGAAGTGAAGAGAAGGCTCTGAGGCTCCTTTGCAACCAAAAGGAGGAGGTTATATTGTTTTGGAGAAGTATGGTCTAGTTGACCCAAATGTGGAGGCTAACACTTTAGTGTCTCAGCTGCAGCAAAAATTAGATATGATCGGGAAGCTTCGAGGGGAGGTCGATCAGGTTAAGGCCGACTGCAACCAGTGGAAAGAAAACATGGATCGGCTTGTGGCTGAGAAGGAGGCTGCTCTAGCCAACCTGGCCTCAGCTGAGACCAGCTCCGGGGAGTCAAAGTGAAAAATCTGGCCCAGGCCAAGAAGACTGATGAGCTCGAGGCCAAACTTGTCGTAACCGAGGCTGAGTTCGAGAAGACGAAGGCCACGGCTGATAAGACCATTGTTGTGTATCTAAAGGATACCGAGGCTGCTCAAATGGAACT